ACGCATGATAGTCGCGACACGCGCGATAAAATTGGAATAAGCGCACGCTATTGGCTGCCTCAATCAGATAGCGGGCGCTTATTTCAGTTTTAGCGCACGCGTCGCGACTATCATGCGTAGCCATGCTACGGGGGCAGGTCAAGAGTAACTATAATAAACGTGTGAATATGAAAAGCCTTATGTGAGTGGAGGAAGCGATAGAGTTTTGTAAGGAGCATAGCGGGTGGGAGTTTTCGCATTAGATCAATGTATATATTACAGACATTTTGATAGGTCTGGCCACTATGAATAATGACCAGTCTTTGTTAAAATACACACGTCAAATGGACAATGTAATGTGGGCAAAACCTGATATACAGGAATCTCCTAGTTCAGGTACTTATACGTGTTATATTTTACATTGATTCGCATAATTAGTCTTTAGTTATTCCTTTGTATAATAAGTTGATCAATATTCAATAAAGAATGTAATAAAAAATCATGATTGATCATTTTTGGCGGTCTGTATGAATAATGACCATCCTGTCTTGGTTAAAGTGATGAAACAAATGATTTATTGTGTTTTGGTTAAATCGTTAGATTATTGCTCGCGAGGAGGAAAGGATTACTCATACTGCCCGGTCCAGGTGACAAATTCACGCCATTTTCAGCCTCGATTTATAAAGTAATATTTTTTTCAATTTGAACGATGATCTTGGTCATCATTAGTAAGAACGGGTCCGTATTAACAATGTCCGATTATAGAAATTTCCCGTAACATTATCTACTTGAAGATACGCATATTTTTATCAAAATCATCAACATGCTCTCAAGCGAGTCATTGCGCACCCAAAACGAAAAATTGGACAGGATCGATCTCTTCCACTGTTCTCTGGGTGAATTCACAAAGATATCGCTTTACATTCTATGTTGTTAGCATTTTGCTGGTCTATTGCATTAGGTTGATAACCTGTAATAATTTATTAAATTTTGGAAATCAGTAAAATTACTGCGAACCTTTCATTCTGAATGATTCCTCGTCATTTTCCACGCCTTAAAGTTTTATCAATTTTATCGGAACTGATGTTTAAGTCGTTCCGTATTTGCAACTCACGTCAACGCCCATGTTACATGGACTAAATTGGATTTACTTCACGTCGAGAGCAACGCTTGTGCATGGCATAATAATTTTGGATAAAGTACTAATACCACATCGTGACATTTTATTCTATTGAAAGGAGCGGGAATGTTGGTTTATTTGAATAACCAAATGTACGCTATTTAGAGCCAAAAAAAATCATTTTCAATGTGTAAAAATGTGTAAAAACCTAACAACACGATACAACGATACATCCTATCGGAGAAGGCCACAGACCTAATACATCTAAATAGACGCCGCATGTGTACTTCAGCCTACTTCGCGTGTCTAATGTAATATAAAAACGCTTAGTTGCCACGCTTTAGAATGCGCCCGGCCGTTTTCGTAGTTAGACAACAGTCGAAAAGCCTATTGTGCCATTAAAAACTGCAAGAACACCACAACTTCGAGTTCTTGAAAAAACAGGGACTTTTTCCATAGTTAGTTCATTTTGTAATCAGAATATACGCATAATTTATTTGAAAACCAAGTATTTTGATTTTGTATGAGTGTCCAGTAAAGAAATATATAACCGAGTGTAAGCCGCATATTCATAACATATTGCAGCTTTTACTTGGTACGTACATTTGTGATTCTTCGTTAGTAGGTGATATATATCTGTGGAGTAGGCAGACGCTAGAGACTTTCACTGCCCACTTTTGTCATAAATTCCTATATTAAACCATCTATTCTCAGCTACTTATGAAACGAAACATGGTTAAGGCTTTTTTTTATACACAAAGACATTTAAGGTATTTTTTCGAGCATTGGTTCTCAATTTAGGTACTTTATCATACCATGGTTCTGGGAAAAAAAAAACTTTAAAAAAGTAAAATCACCTATGTCATACTTTTAAGACTTACTTTAATTTCTATTCTTTTTCTGATATGCATTTGTGCCATTATTTCAGTCTGCCTACGTGAATAATAGGTATAATATTATATAAACTAGCTTTAAGAATTAAAAAAGCATTTTCAATACCGAAGCACATTATTTTGACCGTGATAACTACATAAAAAAATTACAGCCGCGGTTTATTACATTTAACCGAATATCTCAATGTGGACACTCGTTAATTTCCCTAGTAAAATGGACCATAAATTATATAACACTGCTATTAAAATACGTCACAAGAACGCAAAGATAATATTTGGATTCACGTGGGAAGATTTTAATGCTAGTTGTACATTTAAATTTTAAATTAAATTCCATTTTTCAAATAATTATATCTAAACGTCGTTTAAAAAGTCACGCAATTCATAAAAATCCTCAACGAAAACTAAAAACTTTTATAGAAAACATATTGCGACAATATAAAGCAGTCCCGAGATGCCTGTTTCTTTTAATTTATGCCATTAGTATCCAGAACAACGTGTTCTGGAATATTTTATCAATGGTAGGCCATGGCCATGTGGCAGAGCTATGTAAGTGTGTCATAGACCAATTTGTTATGTTTGTTTTGTTGTTAATTTGTATTTAAGATTGATTTTCTTGGTCATAGTTTACCAAATAAAAACATATTTCCCTGAAGCCTATAAATACTTATAAAATACTATAAAGATACTTGTTTGCAGAACAAGTTTATGACCGCCATTCCATTCGCTATATAAAACGTGGTCATATCAGCAATTACGTGTCATGCCTCGCTGTCATCTAGATGAACACATACCACACACACGACGTGCACGAACACAATTTGCATTACAATAGATTCAGGGCCAGAAATTCACTGGATTTGTGAAAAATGAAATAAAATACACAAACCCACTCAATGTCCTGAACATTGAGTGGGTTTTTTCATTTTGTACTTTGAACCGTTCTTGTAGTAAACGGCATAGAGTTGGATTTAAGTCTTAAGTGCAAAGCTTGACGTGCTCATAACCCTGTAACACATTTATTTAAAAAAACGCCCTTTCACTCTAGTCTTTAGTAGCTCCAAATGTAGTTTTCGGAAAGCACAGATGAGTCAAAGTCAGAAGTCAAATAATCTTTATTTCATAGGTAAGTAAATTACACCCGAAATGATCATATTGATTGAACTGTATTACTAATTCGTAAGGCAAATTCCATTGAGAAGAATGAGCAAGAAAGAAAGAAAGAAGAAAAAGAAAAGAAAATTTTATTCAGTACCATCTATTTTAAATTGTACTTACAAAATAAAATAAACACTAAATAAACAATACTGAATGGGCACCACTTAGAATACGCCGTAGCTGAGAACAGCCACAGCGCCGGTATTATGTGGAACCCATGGATTGCGTCACAGGCGCACTTAACAAATACCACATACGAAACACAGACTTTTTACATTTTTTACTGACATACGCTATCAAATACACACACACGATTAACAAATATTGTGTTATGTAATAGATAACAAAGTAATAACATGTGACATGCTTACCTAAATTTATATATCTATATTCATATTTTTTTTATTAAAATATTTATTTAAATAACATTAGATAATACACGACTCAATCCGTTACTACGATAAGTAACCTATAAAAGAAAAAAACTACATATTTGATAACTATAAAGTGAGAGTAAAAAGTATAAAGGAGTTGATGACATAGTATAAACACAAACATACATATGTACATATACACATACATATACACACGCTTGCGTATACATATTATATAAAACCGAATATTATCTTATATCTTTCTATAGAAACTCTAAGGGTTGCTCTTTAGAAACAACCTGCAAGAGTCAATAACACGGATTTTTATCATCTAAGCACGCAGAAACTGTATAATAACCTTTAGTATAAAGTTTTTGTATCACTATAATTTTCATATTTTGGATGACAGATTTTGAATATCAACCAGAATGAGGAATACAAACGTCCCTAGTGTCCGCTTTATTACCGTACGCATTAGGAAGGAGGGGTAAAGCTTTGAGTACATGGGACAGAAATGACATAAGGATGCTGTGTTTCGGACTTTGTGGTTAGCCGAAGGAGGAAGGGTGAAGGTGGAACTAACTCGTAAAGTTCCTGCACAAACTCTTCGAAATTTGTCTAATAGAAAACCAGCAAACAGGTAACTTTTCGGCATTGGTCGGAATTTATAATTCCACAAGAAAATCGTAGCCAATAAGTCTCAACCTTCTTGTTCCACTGAGCGCTATAAATATGTCCAACAGTAACAAACCAAACCTAAAGTCGAAACGTTCTATTATTCTTATTTAAAATGTACCTTGTTTAAATAATTTATAATATCATTAGAAACGGAGAAACGGTATCAATGAATAACAACAGATTGTATTACGACTCGTCGAAAACTAATTTCCATCGGCATCGTCTCTAGCCAGCGTTTTTCTGATCTTTATTCCTCTATTTTGGCGTAATAAGACATGTTCCATTGTGAAAAAATGTTCACAAGCTCACAATAAATATTTGTAACGAAAACATCAACATTTCTCCGAACCACCAAAAGTAAGATTAGATAATATAATATAAGAGGCTAACCAAAATAGGAAATCAAAACATAGTACAGTCTCAAAGGGAATTTCATAAGTCGAGGCCTTGAGAGGAAACCCAACAAATATGGCAATGGAACGAGATTGGAACCCAGGCAAATGTATTCATTAAACTTTGTCCTGAGCAAACTCTACCATCCCTATCTGCTTGTATATAAAATCGTTATAATAATAAGCTCTTACGAAAATAATGCTCCGACATTGTATTTGTTGTATTAGTTTTTCTGTAAGGTTGGTTTTGAGAGCGTTGTTGATTTCAGTTGTCATTTATTTATCACAGGCAAATGCATTTCGGGTTTATCATTTACACATTGATGGTTAAAATTAAGCAGATTGTAGAGAATGTAAATGTTGATGGCGGAGCTCGCCGCGTTGCCAGTGATAATGTCTAACGCAGGGATAGGCGAGTCGCGGAGCAGCCGCGCGCGCAGCCCGCCTCGCTGCCCGTACGTCGCCTGCGCACGCCTTGCTGGGCAAGGTGCTCAGTAGAGAAACCGAACGAAGCAAAGTTAATACCGTTACAACAACACCGACCACGGCCAAGTAGTCGCGCCTCCCTTCTGTCCACTCTGTGCGATTAGGTCTTTCTGTTCTGTTGAAGCTTCAGTATACTGTCTCAGTCTCCTGTCCTCCTGGTACCTTAGACCGTCTTCTTCCTTTCTCTTGTTAATTTCGGAGCCTTTTGTGTTCGTTCGAGGCATGCGTGTGCTCCAAACCCTTTTCACGTATGGTAATAACCGTACGTGACCACATTTCATCTGAAATATTTCAAGAATGACTTGGGCAATCTTTATTTTTATCGTTTTTTTGTAATTGTTAATCTGATCGCCTGACTCATTCTTTTGTAGAATAGTTCTCTACTCCTTTTAGATTAGACCTCAATTATCCTCGTGTAGCGTCAATACCCTTTGTGATTCGTCTCTGTCCTATCTCTGCAATCTGTCTACTTGTCAGTCCTTAGGCATGAAACATTTGCGTCGGGGTGACCCCTATAAGCATTATCTCCAAAGCTTCGTATACTTTGACAAATTCTTAAGATACTTTTTGTTTCAGTTTGCTTATACTTCATAGTTTCGAGATTTTTATTTAGCTTTCACGAGTTTTCAATAATTTTCTTCTAATTTCAAAATATTTCAGAGCTTCTTTCTTGCATATAAAATGGAAACCTTTGATTTGTGTTAATAGTTTTTATTTAATGTTTATTTTGATGTGTATAAAACCGCTTAAAATTACCGGTTGCGTCCATCATTAATTTATTTAACTAGTTAACCATACATAATGCACGTGATACAGCTAGCTAATTTTAGATGCATTTAAATGTGATATAGACGCTGCAAATGTAAGGTTTTCTGAAATTAGTCGAGTAACTTGTGATGACCAACCGGTTGTCCATTGTGATTAAGACCAGGACCTTTGTGCTCCCTGACTGTGTCCCAATGACATCGTGTTTTATTTTAGACCGGCAGTGGCGCGCCAGCAGTCCGCCCCGACCCTGGTGTTTAGGTGTGTCGATGTTACCTCTTTATTTAACGTCTATTGCTACTTCAACAAAGCCTTCACTCAAAATACTATTAGTAAACTCTTCAATCTACGTAAAATACTCGCAACTTTTATATTTTATCGTTTCTGATACTACTTTCATCAACGACACTTCGTTTAAGTAGCAATATATCAATTCCTAACCTTAAACAACCAAGCATCCTTTAACCCGCTTGTTTTGTCGTTATGTTGTGTGTAATACTTTGTTTTCCATTGCCTTTTACAGTGTTAACTATTTTAGTCATTAAACATTATCTTGCTATGTGCACCATAATAAAATATGTCAGTGGTAAAAATCTTTTTTACACACAGATAGAAGCTACAAACATAACGCTACTAATTTTCCTTTTAATCAAATAAGACGAAGACCAGAACTATTCCTGTGTATGGAATACAGTAAATTAGAAGACCAGTCTTGTGTTCCGCATTGATTGGATTTTCTCTATGCATCCTCAATCACATTGCAAAAGTTTTGATTGCAATTCTACAAAGTTATAAATTGCACCCTGATGAAAGTCGTTATTAAAAAGACATTGCCATCAATATTTCCTGTACAAAATACGGCAGTCAATGGAAAGAAAGGTAAAAAGCATTGGAATATACGTGCACGCTGCATGAAGTCCGTCCAGCTTTAGTGTCGACATACCTCAGCATGCTCTAACTTCTACAAGACTAATTCTTTCCTCTCACTACTTTAATTAAACCTATCAGCAAATACTCGAGAGACTTCTACACAGCTTACTATCGAGGAAAAGGCAAGGAATCTTTGTTCGAAGACTTGCGATGCCGATTTCGAGGAGAACCTCATAAATTGTGTAAATAAAACAGATAATGTGTTTGTTTTTCTCTTTAAATTGTATAAGTGATCGAAGGGCTTTCTAAGAGGTACAACAAATTTCCTATTCAGCCTCGCCTGAGCGATTGATCCGATTACGTAAATTGTTTAATTACATTTAGCAAACGACCGGTTTCTATTCATCCAGAAAGTTGTCGCCAATCTTTTAGGCGAGGCTGTTCACCCGAACTATCAGCTTTATTAATCTTAAAGGATTGTATAACTTTTTTATCTTTTCAATTTGGATTATCCTCACCAAATTCCGTTGGGCTATTCCATGATGTGAAACTAGGTTCACTAGTTCCATTGTTCCAATCCATAGTTTCATCGTGTTATCGTCCAGTAGATCTTGGAGAGCAATCCCTGTTTTGGCAATGCCTATTCTAGAAACACGACTAACCAATTTAACATTGTAACTTGAAATAACAACATAGACGTAGAATTTACATAATAAGTTGAAGTAAGTCTAATTTAATGGTTAACGGTTATGCCAGTTTGCACAACAACTAGATAGAGTTACCAACAGATTAGTAGAATTATAGTTTAAAGTATAGTGTTTTTCCATCTTTACAATATACTTAGAAACCAAAACTTAGCTAGAAATTACTATAAAGCTTAACGCACAACTGAAAAAGTTACATACATAATTTAAAAGTGAAATAACAAAAATAATAACAATTTAGATTTTTATAAAGTAGTAAACTTAAAGATTTGTTAAAATAATATTCAGGCATTGTTCACAACATTTTTCTAAAAAAAACGGATTATTTTTTTAACTTGCAGCTTTGCTTTAACTGGATCAGCAACAGAATTAAATAAAAAGCTCTTGTTTTGCTCAAAAGGCAAAAGGCTAATGTGAAGTGTTATTGGCACATGCATTGTGTGATCAGATGATTGATAACAATGGTTAATCTATAATTTTAATATGCGTTTCGGGTTGTGTGCAGGCGACTGGCGGATGAAGATGACGAGTTGTCCGAAGTACAGCCTGACGCTGTACCTCCTGAGGTCCGAGAGTGGTTGGCGTCGACATTCACGAGGCAACTGGCGACGTCGAAACGAAAATCTGACGAGAAGCCGAAGTTCCGATCTGTGGCGCACGCGATCCGCGCGGGCATCTTCGTTGACAGAATCTACAGGCGGGTTACTAGCACCGCTCTTATGCAGTTCCCGCAGGATGTTGTTAGAGTTCTGAAGGTAAGTACACTTGTTTCCTTTTACAAATTTGTTGGTTGAGTAATCGAAATTGTAGATATTCGTAAATCGACCGTTTAAGACCTTTGCACACTATAACGATAGGTGCCAATCGAATCGTCACCGTTTGTTGGGCCGGGCGTTGTGTCATACTGTGCTCCATACAAAAGGCTTGTATGTGTGCACGCTTTGTACGGACGCACATACACTCGCCTAATCTCGCAATGCACTCACGTTGCGTAGCGCGTATAGCACAAGCCTTTCTCCGTAGAATTGAAGCATTCGCTTTGTGTTTAAAATATGAAAAATATAATCGCTATGTCGCTGCTTTTTAAGAAAAGTGGCGTAAACCAAAAGAGTTTATATTAATCTTTTAACACAGCTGCGTTCCAGAATATGCTAAATATTATAGTAAAAAAACACCGAGCTTTTTATTGGTTAAAATAATCAAGTGACAACATTTACTGGTTTTTTATTCGTCGGCTTTGGTCATTGCATACGCTTCAGTTGTTTCTAAACCATCCTCTTGATGATTTTTTTTTATATCATAATCATGCTCCCATAATCCAGATACTAATGCCATATGCTGGTATAAAAATATAAATATGTAAGTATTCCGTTTGACAAAGAGTATTTCAATATAGCACGAATAACTTTCTTTTGTCAAATTATGTGCGCTTATTGTCCACTCAAAACAGTTTCAAAACATATAACATACATACACGTAACGTAACATAACGTATAACAATTTCAGACGAGCTCTTATATTAATATACCTACGTGCGTCATAACTACAAGTACGCCAAATTCCACAGTATGAAAATTAATTAAACAAGTCGTAGTCAACAAAATAGTCGTTCTAAAACGAATTTCCATGACTAAATTGGTTGCACATACTAGTTGAAAATGAAATGAAAATGAAAATGAAAATGAAATGAAAATATGTTTATTTCTTTTTTACATGTACTTAAAATTAGAGTTTACAATTGGGTCTTCCTTTTAGGTATCATCTACCTGTATTAGGAAGGCCCGCTCTTCCATTGTACTTTAATCTTAATAATAAACCTAGTACAGAAATGAATGAATTTATAAATGTAATTATGTATGTGAATATAATTACATATATATATATATAATGTATAATGTAATATATTAAATAATTATTCATATATAAAATAAAATTAAATAAATATAAAAATGTTAATTATATTAAGTATAATTAATATATATTATGTGTGTGTATTTGTATATGTAAGGAAGTATACACACCATCTGATTATTGAATACCCGTTAGGGCGTAACCTAGAATAATATTAATATCTATAAATCATTTAGGTTTTTAGTGAGATGAATATATAAAATAGTTGTCCAAAATAATGAAAATAATGAAAATAATAATTAGGAGGTATAGAAATGGGTATATAAATTAATGGTGTGATATGTTCTCCGTTTCCTCATAAGTCAGTGACAGTAACCAGTTAGTCACAGCCTTTTTACAGATATGGAGCTGTAATTTGTAGATATTAATTTTTTTATTGATATTGTTGTACAAACGTGCTGAGTTAACCACAAATTGTCTGTCGGCAAACAAAGAATTAGAAATTGGTTGAGGAGCGACGCTGTAATTCCGTCTACGACACATGAGCAGAGGATTGAATGTGAGGGACTTATGTAGTTTTAATACAGTAAGAAGAATATATAATTTTCTCACTAGTTGGAATTCTATTTTCTAATAGACAGAGCTTTAATTGGCTTCGACTGTGTAATTTAATTAATACGTCAGATATTTTCAAAGCGAAAACATGAGCACATCTAATGAGCTCGTCTAAGGAATGAATGTTTTTTACAACAGGAAACTAAGAGATATCGACGCTAGATGTTAGTTACTAGAACGTGTGTCCAAAATGGGTTTAATTACTTAGCACCCAAAATAGGATCAGGTCCTGTTTGTACGTACCACGCACTCTAAACAATCCTCTTACAGCTGATAAGGCGCTTTAAAGCTTGAAAATGTTCTTAACATTATATTCGTTTTTAGGTTACCTGTCAGAAGCTAGAAACAAGACTTACAAAATTTTGTTTCTCCGAGAACAATTCGGCTTTTATTGAACAGGTTTTGTTTCATGTGTCCGAAAACACATGACGATATTCCGTTGTATCATTTAATGTTTCACTATTTTCATGCATTGATAAGTTATTTGTTTCCAGATTTTCATTTCCCCAACATGACGTTAGACTAATGTACCGAATTGTATATATCGGTTTTGTTCATTTTTGTATTTAATTGAATGTGATTGACACAAATGAACGATGAATGAAGCTAAATAAATTGACCAAATAAAATTTAAACAAATTCACCTCTGCTTTTTCGTATATTAACCTTTTCTTTTTTTTATATTAACCTAACCTAACATATTAACATACCATAACATCCCGCCTGGGATTATATGATATGTCATAGGATATGTCAAAACGAATACTCAGCAATTTAAACTATATGGAAAACAGACTTGACCAAACATCGAAACGAAACGATTAGGTTAGGTTAAGATAGTTTTAAAAGAAAAACATTTTCCTCTCATAATTACTTTCGAGGAAATGAAACAATTTTTCCGGATTTAAATCGCGTATATTTGTTTTTTCAAACAAACCTATGTTTCGGGCCCTTTACAGGTCCCATGGTCACGGTTGAGTCAACCGTGATACGCGATTTAAATCCGGAAAAATAGTTTCATTTCCTGTGTGTAACAATCGCGAAAATCTAAAAACTCGATATTACTTTCGAGGTAGAAAATGTCATTTCAGACTACTGATAGGTAACCTATTTACTGCTGTAAGATATTTCAGTGTTACAAATTTATAACAAAACAGTCATCGCACTAATGAAAAAAAATAGAACAATGTTCGGAATAATGACATTTAGAAAACAGAAATTCATGTTGTGATAGGTTACTCGTTGTTAATATGCAAGATATTTTTTTTGCCAATAGTAAGTCAAAGGCAAAGTTTTTCTAGTGATGCTGAAGACGAATGCTTAAAGTACTTTGGACAACTCGATTGTCCACCTTAAGCCGCCAATGCGTTCTTTCACATCGCACACGCGCAGAGGCTATGAACATTTTGAAAAACTGATTGGAGTTGGTAACACGGAAGAAACACGGCTACGAGATCTTGCAAAAATTCATCATTCTCCAAAAGTTACACGGTCGGTAGGGACGAGCTGGGCAGTCACGGAAGTAAATTATCCGCTCCAGAAATGACATGAACACGATCCTCAGACATTAGGGAGCGATTATATAGATAGAGAGGATAGAGCAATAAAATATAATTCTATTGGTTTCCTAGAAATGTTTTTGAACTTATTTTCCAAAGGCAAGAGGATTAAGAATCTACCAGTCGTCATTCAAAAAACGCTTTTATATTTCTTAACTTTAACATGTTTATTATGTTTTTAATATGACTTACGTGTTTTTATATTTCCGATATTCATCATAGGTTTGTAGACATGAACACGTCAATTCATCTAATTGTATGCCGCAATTTCAGTGGTAAGAACTTTTTTGTATTTTATAAATCCTCCCTTTATTCCATAAACCACATTATACTGTATCAATTGAGGCAAAATTTAAAGAGGGTAAAAACGTTTCCTCCTGAGCAGTTACTATATTAGAAATTGTATTCATGTATTCACGAGTCAGGAGAAGATACCACGGGAACGGGCGGAAATCGATAGATACAAATAAGTTTTGAGAAAATATTTTTTTACGGAAATAGTCGGCTATGCTGAAAATTACGTGGAAAATTTTAGATTTCTGATGGCAAGTTTAGGCAGGACTGCACCCTGAATAGCAGGGGATTGTAAAGAGGCAAGTCCACGAGTTTAAAGAGCAGCGTAAAGATGAACTCGATGCTAAACGAGACAAGATAAAGGCCCTCCCACCCTCCGCCATTAACTTTAATTACGTTGGCGGTTTACTCACGTGCTCTTAATGTTCACAGAGTTCGCCGCGAAGATTGGCTACATTAGTCATCTTCGAGCTCATTAGCGCCAACTGACTAGATGTCGATCTGATCGTCATGTCCAAACACGGTCAGATAGACAGATAAAATGATGAATTGATGACATAATATAAAGTATAAATAATTTAAGAAGCCAAGTGCCAATGTCAACTTCGCGTGTCAAAGTCAAAGAATCATTTGTTGCTAAGTAAAATAAATTTACACTTAAAAACATTGACTTACAATTATATGGACGTTGAGTCCGCGCTAAAAAGTGTCCGAACTTATAGGACGTTAAAATATACAGAGTATACAGAGCGTCATTCATGCTTTAGTCTTCGTTTGTTCGACTGACAGCGAAGCAAGCAAAATTAGACAGTACAGCGATGACATTACAATTTAAATTCAACGTTTTAGCTTTTTCATATTCCTTTATATGTCACTACGTTTAAATAGGTTGACTTGGGACATTTTTTTCGTGGTTTTTGTATTAGACCCGTCGTCCATTTATTTGTAAGTCAATGCTTAAAAACGTAGTATTTTAAGCTACTGCTCGTTCACTAAGCTGACTTCCTTGAGAAGAGCTATCAAGTAACTCGAGGAATGGCTCTTTTCAAATAAACTTAGATGCTATGGAATACACCTTGAAACAAATTTGTGTGAAATCTAGACCCATCTCGTCTTTCTATATATCTTTATCTAACAAGTAGTCTTCAATTTTGTTATATGACTTTTTAATTCAAATACTTTTAATGTAAGTTTTAGACTTAGGAAATGACAATTTTAATATATATACTCCGGAATCTTGTCCTAAAAACGTATACCCCATAAAAGTGTCATTTACCTGAGTTAAACGAAATCGTGGGACCATGAGTTTGGACTTAGCTCTAAGGTTAATTTTATGGATATCTTCTTTCTAAATGAAATGATGTATATTTTTACGGACACACAAAATATTTGAGTAAATGTACTCCATCGTCGACCTCATCGTCACTTTCCATCGGGTCAGATAGGAGTGAAATGCGTATTAACTAATATCAAACAAATCTGCGGAAGGGAATTACAACTGTATATAAAACTAAGTTTTTCCTGATAAAATTTTAAGTGACAGATAATGTTTTTAGCTTAACTGTTAAATGTAGTTTACCTGCAAAACCCCTTTTGAATATTTTTCACATTATTTACCTCGGGGAATCAATAGGGTAAGAGCAAAGTACCATCTGAATAATTAACAAGGGTTTTATTCAAACCACTACTAGAATAGAACTTTCTACTGCGATATTAATGTAACAAATTCTTATTTTATTTGCATCTGTAAATAAAAACAAACATTGTAATGTGCATAATTCTTCTGGCAAATGATACTCGTATGCCATAACGGAATTGGTAATGTAATGGGACAAACAAATCGCGTGCCTGATGGTAAGTGACACGCCTGTCCATAACAGTTGCAGTGCCACTCAGAGCTTTCAGTCGTAAAGATCTGAGGGGCACTGCCATTGCGCCCGTCACCCTGAGACATAAATTGACAAGTCCCATGTGTCTGTAATTTCACAAGCAACCTTACCCTTCAAAACCGGAACACGGTAATCTGACATTACTGCTTGGCGGCAGAAATAGGTAAGGTGGTAGTACTTCGCTCGACGAACTCTTTCACAAGGAGCTAGTCTACTGCTACAAAAAATATGATATGCCATAACCGAATTGGTAATGGTATAAAAATAAATAGTTATCCTATATATCCCAATACTGGGCACGGGCCTTCACTCACAATGAGAGGTCTTGGGCTGTAACAATAACCACACACACATCATTAAATCGCTTTGCAGAGATGTGTATAGGTTTCGTCACGATGCTACCCTTGACGGACAAACTCTTGGTAAATTTTGAATTGAATTTTGCATATAAATCCTAAAAAAAGAAAAAGCTGCAAGCCCGGATTCGAAACCATATTTCTCTGCAGGAGAGGCCGTAGGTCAAAGCGTTATGCTACCACGGCTTTATCTTGGTAATATTACTTATTTATAGATTTGAACCAACATAAAAATATAAGATAACAACAATTTCCAAGAAAAGGTGAATTTGTTCAAAATTTTCTATTTCCATTTTCCCCAAAAAAGCAATCAAATTAAACGACAAATGTGCTTGCTATACAAGCTTCAGTTAAACGAATTCTTTATAGAGCCATTTAGTCTACCTCCATATTACCACACTATATAATCAAGTTCTTGGGAAACAGGTAATTTCTCTCTATTATGTACTACTAAATTATGGAAAAGGACAGGAGGTACAGTGGAAACGATTGCGGGAAATGACTTTCTGGTGTACGGTTTTTGAGAAGATTTATTATTTGCTTCTCGCGGTATATATAAAAGACTATATTTTTCTTTTAACTCTCCGCAGTCTTAGGTTACTTTGGTTCGCTGCGACAGCAAAGTGACTGGACACCATTTCTGTGCTCACCAGTATTGTACAGCCAGGACCCTTGAAAACTATAAACTTTTCCAAGTTTATACTTCGAAATTACGTTCCGTTACCTGAGAAGTTACATTTTTTTTTAACCAAAATTTTGAACTGTAAACGGTACATATCTACCTCCTCCATGACAACCTCCATGGCCGAACGGTTACCAGACTGGAGCAGTCCATTACCGAATCAGAAAGAAATATTGCACGCCCTACATTTTGTTTATTTATTTATTTTGTGACTTAGGATGTGATTTGTGTATGTCCATAGCACCCGCGATACAGGGTTTCCCTAGCGCGGGGCTATGAGTGTGTGCGTAAAAAACTCACGATTAAATCTCAAAAATAAAAAATATTTACGCCCAAGAGATATTAATGTTTAATCAGTAAATGCTTTTTGTTTGCGCCATCTTTAAGTTACTTTATTGTCTAATTTGAGTGCGTTCGCAAACTATTCTGTGTTTACAATATTAAATATGGTTGAATTTAAAAATGTCATCGTTCACAAAAATGACGAAAATTGCCTGAAAAATAAAACTTACTTAGGTTTGTTACGCTAAGGGGTCAAAAGTTACGATTAATGAAAGAAATGTAAAAGTGAGGCAACACTCACGCCAGTTACTTACATAAACCATAAAGAAAAAGAATATATTACATCCAAAATATTACTTATGTGCTTTGCACAAAATTGTTAATTCTGCCATGGATTCTCAGCTGATCGAACACCTGTGTTTTAGGGTACCTACTCGTTCTATGCGTACTCCGCAGTTGTTTGGTGTACCTCTTACAAAAAATAATGTTTCACAGAATGGACCATTGTGCAGAATGTGTCGATCATATAATAGCATATGTTCCCACCATGACATTTTTTTCTGTAGTTTTGAATGCTTCAAAACAACACTGTTTACTAGTATTGGCAAAAAGTAACTTAAACTTAAACTTTTAACGTCTGTCCTTTTATATTGTAATTTATGATAATACAAATGTTGTGTACAATTATAATTGGATGTCAGATTTATAATGTTATATGTATATGTATTAGTTCTAGTATTATTTGTAGTCTGTTATCTGTTGTTGTACCATATAATAAAAAAAAAATTAAAAAAAAATATTATCATCAAATTTCTCAGTCAAATATCTCAGTAAATTAAGAGCATGGATCCAACATTACATAAAGTGGAAAATATATACGACGGTTTGGCGTCCTTATTCAGTGGTCGGCGGTCAGGCCCGGGATTGCTTTATGGGGTCACCTTCCAGATTGTAATCTAAATCGTGTACAAGCCATTCTGATTGCGTTATTTGGGGAATTTATACGGATAAAGAATGTATTATTCACAAACACGAAAGTTAAAACGTAATGAGTAACTTAATTTCATTGCTTGTAAGTCTCTATTCGTCACTTAACAAAGTATCTGCCTCCGTGGCTGAACGGTTACCATGCTGGACTGCCACGCAGAGATCCCGGGTTCGATTCCCGTGCCGGGATAAAATGTTTGTATGGCTTACATTTATTTCTCTCGTGAGTTTGGTTGTAATTTGCGGTTGTCTATCTGTGTGTGCATGGCACCCGCAGTACAGGGTTTCCCTAGTGCGGTGCTATGTGGGTGCGCTATTATTATTATAGTAAATATTGTAATTATAATAAATGCTTCGTCACTTTTTGTGTTTAAAAGTTACTCAAAGAGCCTTTGTTTATAATTATTTTAATTTTTTAAACCTCCAATGTAGCTGGTGTCGTGTCGGAGATGTTTTTTGCATTTTGTTAGTTATTAACTGGTTAGGAGTTGTTTATTTAATTGTAATCAAATTTTTAAATATCTAAATGAGAATTAACCTAGTTACTTTACAATTTTATCAAATGTGTCTACATTTTTTAATAAGATTAATTATGTCGAAATAGTGGCCATAATAATGTAATCTAGTTACACATGTGCTATGTTCCGTGACATGTGTATTATTGTTACCGTATCCACGTAAAAACAGCGCCGTAACACTTTCAGTGAGACGACAATCACAGCGCACACGCTGCCTGTTATGTTCATTATTATTCGTAACATAATTATTTATTTAAGTTTTTTATTTTTGTTTATTTTCATTCGTTGTATTTGTTAACTAGTATGTAATAAGAAGTGTGCTTTCCATTTGTTTTAAGTCTAATATTGTAGTCGGTAAGTAGTATGTGTTGTCGTTACCTATGTATATAGTGTGTGCACTGTGCTTTTAAACAGAATAAATGATTTCTGTTCGATTCTATATAAGGCGTAAACAAAGTAAGAGGTAGTCAAAGTTCAGTTATTTGTCAATAGTCTTTCATTGTTATGACATGGATAAGAAAGGTGTGATTATAGATATGACGGCTAATAGGGGAGAGAGGAAGAAAAACGTATGTTGTGCTAATAATAAGGATAAGGACATGAAGAAGAAGAAGAAGAAGAGTCTTTCATAGTTAGATAAGAAGTACGAACATCCAGATTGATCACAACTACTCTTTGTTTATTCATTCTTTCCATAACAATAGCGATTGTGTCGCAAAAGAAAACTTAAGCCAGATACAAATAAGAGATCGAACATAGTACATAGTATTAACAAGTTATTAATGAAAACACAAGTAATAATGACGACCTACGGGGTCGAGTGGCTTGCATACCGGTTTTCATGGTGTCACCATCTCTCAGGTCCCAGATTCCGCCCGGGTCAGTATAGAAAAAATTTACTTTTCTATATTGTCTCAAGTCTGGGTGTTTGTGGTGCCGTCGTTGTTTCAGATTTCCATAACACGAGTGCTTCAGCTACTTACTTCGGGACTATATTTGGTATCCATAGCAACCCACTACCAACTTATGTATGCCGTCCACAGAACGTGTAGTTGAAATTATCACGTACAGCAACAACGCAAATAATACAAATTTTAAATTCATTCCGATCCAAAGATACAATGGTGTTAAGCTCGTTGTAACCCTAGTATTATTTAGTTAGTACATTGCTCATTTGACTTGCCATTCTCGCCGCAAGGCCTAAGAGCTTTAACCCTCCGTTTGGGCTTTATACACGAGACTCGAGATTTTCCTCTTGTTTGAATTACCTCCAGATGTAATTACAGCTATTCTATAAAGCGAAATTTGTAATTGTGTTTATATTATCCACATGCCGGCAATTTTAATTATGGAGGACTTCACTGGATTCATTTGTCTCCCCCCGCTATAAGTGAAAATAGCTTTTAAGTGGTTGAGAATTGTTTATCGTGTTCATGTTTCAACAATTTAATACTGAAATTGATATCAGTGTTTTCTTATTTGAGTCCTTTTTTCGAGTTTTAAAGAACTCAAAAGATGTTGAAACAGCATCTTCCTTCTAAATTTTCTTCACACATTGGAGCACTCAACTGACTGCCCAGCATTATTGCAAAATTCTCCTACCACATCTATAAAAGGCTGAAATTCCTTGGTAGCAAAACTCTTTTTGAGAGAAAATCCCTTTAAGACATTTAACAAATATATCTTGTCCCATATACATAACGGCATCAATTGTTACAGACATTAGACGAATGGTCGTTCGACGTGTTCGCGCTGCACGAGTCCGCAGGCGGAGCACCCGTCAAGTACCTCGGCTACGAGCTACTCAACCGATACGGAATGATACATAAGTTTAAGGTAAGATGTTTCAAGCACCTATCTCGGAAATAACACGTGTATTATACAATAAAATTGACTCTGAAGGTACGACTAAATCAGAAAGGTTTATAAAACTTCTCAAACAGTATCCGCCGCATTAATATGATCATTCAATTCAACATTATTATTTTTCGTAATCATTCAATATAAAACTTACAATAAATTGAAATTTAACGATTTCGAACGCCACAACCTTACCTACTTTTGATGACAGATGGATCCTCTCAACCCTTCTAATGCTGCTGCGCCCAAGGACATCGAGACATTTATTGTCATTGATATACCTTATCTTTAAATTAAAGGAATAGTATTCTGTATGTATAAATCATCAATCATCTATTATGTATAAATCAGGTAAAAGAAAAGAAAAAAATTCTATTTCATAGAGACCTTCACATTGAACTATTGTGCCCAGGAGGCTGGCAATAATCGGTGGACAAAAACTGTGTAAAATATTAAACGAGACAATTTGATGACTCTTTAGCGAATAGTTACACCTGTGGCTCCTGGAATTATAAGAGCAGTGCAAACTATATTATATTGCAGCACAGATAGCATTAAAATTGGCAAATTTGAGGAGGATGTTATTAACCATCACTTCGGATGCACTAAAAGCTGCAGTGTCCAAACTCATCAAGGATATCACTATACATACATTTTTGAGAACTGTCGACAAACAGCTAGCGAGAGAAAAAGACCAGGCGGTCCAACAACGATATTTACCTGTACCTGGTGTTACCTGTTTATAATACCCGAACATATCTTCACAACAATGAAGCCAGCACGTTGATTGGGGTTGTCGGTAGGGAATATGTGTTCTTCTTCTTCAATACTCTTGCAGAGTTGTTCATCTTAACAACGCCTTTGGTGTAAAAATGACTGGACATCTATACCGGAATTCCGCAGCATTTTTAGCCTCGGCCAAATTTGTCAACGCAGTTCAACGAAGTTCTAATAACGCATGCTGAAACAAATGATAATAGAAATAATACCGGGATAGTGCTGCAATTTTTCCTGACTGCTTATGCACCTAAGTGAAGTGAAAGTGAGGAACTAGAACGAGCAATTAAAAATTTATTTATTTATTTATTATTTTGATTCAACGGAAAAGAGAAGAAAAACTCGAACATCTAGATTAACGAACGTATTTGGGATCAAATCATAGTCAACAAATGGGCACGCCCATCCGTAAAACCTCCTTTCCGCGACGCATACTTGTTATATTTTGACGTATCTAATTTCCGCTCTTCAACTATCATTTGCGGACTTCGCTCTAAGTATCTCACTTGTAGAAAAATTGAGCTCGAAGCTGAGGGGACGAAAGTTCAGTAGTTTTATATCGTTTCTCAGCATTGCCGACCAAAGACCCGTCATCCAAGTGCCATTATGCAGACTTTGTAATTTAGTTTTTATTGGATAATAATTAGCCAAAGAGGTCGTTGGAGCGGCGGGATATCTTGTTGACAGCCGACTGCTCAATGTAGAAGAGTGTTCCTTATATTATAAGAGTATAAGGGTCGTATTCTAGAACTCTACTCAATGCTCAAGTCAGGATTTGAGTATGGTTTAAAGCACTCGAAATCATACTCAAGTCCCTGCCATTAGGGTCGTATTTCCAGTGCTTGTGTTGCCAGTGCAATCCTGACTTGAGCATTGAATGGAGTTCTAGAATACGACCCTTAGTGGCTATGGAATCAGTAAAAGGCCCGAATTGTTGGTTTGTTTGAAAAACAAGTAAAAATATTTTCATTTAATTGTTCATTCTTAAATAATAGGGTCGGCAAAAAATCTTTTGCATTGACTTATTTTTTGCTTCTGATAATATGAATTCGGTATGTAAACTCAGCGTGTACGTTTAATGCTCTGAATCATGCGGTGAAAAAATCAAAGCTAATATTAATTCGGACAACGTATCAAAGTCCAAAAGTTTGTTCAAAGACGAAAAGTAAAAGTAGAGAAGAAAACACGAAGTACAAAGTTAAACTTCCGAATATTCTAATGAAAATAGAATGAAATAGGAATTATTTCATTCACAGAAGAAATTTGCTTGGCAAGTTTTTATTAAGGACAACATTAATTTGAAATAAAGGTAAATTTTGCGGAGCATTAGCCAATTTGTCAGGTGGTTACCCTTAGGCGCAACTTTTTCGTTATTCTTTCATTTACATTTCCATTAAAGGTCTGTGAAAGGTTTTAGGTAGGTAATTAATTTTAAATTAGAAAATTACCAGCTTATAGAAATGAAAACAAACCTGTCTTATCGCAGACATTTAATGTAACCCAACAACAATTTAGGTCTGAATCATTCCGTACTCGTCAAGGATACTATTTACCGTGGTCGTTATGACAGAGTAAAGTTGGTAATGGTACATGAATGTGGGCAACTTATCAGTGGCGAGGCGTCAAATTTTCCTTAGCAAAGCCGAAGAAAAACAAAAAATACTAACAAAAACTTTTCTTGTCAAAAAGGAGCCTTAGCGATATTTAAACATAACATTTATTAGCACACAGGATACTAGTTTACTTCATTTCTCTGGTTAACGTATTCTACATATAAAATAACAATAATTTTTGAAGTAATTTACTACATCTTGTGCTGCTCGCCGCGAAAATGAAAGTTTTATAATAAACAAAGTTTCGTGAACGCCTTAGCCAAATGTTTTAGCGATTTTAATTAACATGACCTTCTACATTCTTTACGTAGCCCTATTAAAAAGAAACACTCAAACAGATATTGCATATTTGTAACACTATTTATCGTTTAAGATTACAGAATACAAATTAACCATTTATATTAAATTGTTATTATAATAATTTTATCCTATTATTTTAAGGAAGTTTTACATCTGGCAACGAAGATGACATTGAAACAAATGGGTCTTTAAAAGTAATCTGTAACGCGTTGGAATAAGGGTTAAATTTACGTGAACGCTATTCGACTATAACTCGATTTGTTTCGGCTTATCGGCCGCCATTTCTTTAATGTTATGCAGTGGGTTTTTGCGAATGTGTGCGTGTACATAGATTTCATGAATGAAAAGAAGGCGGAGACCCATAAGTTACAATTTTTTAAGTAGTAGGTTATGCGCGCTATCTAGGACTATCTTTTAGTAACAGGTGGAAAATTTTAAACAAACCGGTGTGGAATTCGAGTTATATGGACGCATCGTCACTGCAACTTACTTTGTATCTTAAGATCCTGTCCTGTGTTGGACTGCTTATCAGTAGCCTAATGTTATAGGTAGATCGTAATTTTAAACTACCCTAAACCAATGACTAACTATTTAAAAGCCTCAGCTCAGAGTACAAATAACTACTCTCACGCATAGCCACATAACGTTGGTAAGCAGTGAACAAGGATCTCGCTTTATACGATCGAGATATATAAATGTGCTTTTTACATCAGTTAACATGTTCAAAAAATGTGTCCACAGGTCCCATCAACGGTTCTAGAAAACTTCCTAAGTCGGATAGAAGAGGGGTACTGCAAGTTCCATAACCCTTACCATAATAATCTGCACGCAGCTGACGTCGCCCAAACCGTACACTACATGCTGTGCCAGACTGGTTTAATGGTAAGAAATCTTTGTGTTAAAATATGACAACTTACCTTCAAATTCTGAGTAGATATAATTTTTGATATCAATAACCCACCCGGTCTTTTATTCGATAATACCCTGCACTTCCTATAATTTCTAGACCGGAATTAAAATAGAATAGTCCGATTTCGCAAATTGGTCCTAAGTGGAAACCCAAGCTTTCAGTTAACGCTACAGTAGAAATTTTGGAAACGGGAATAAACGCGTTTACATACGAATAGGTATTTTTTTCACACCTACCTAGTTTCCCGACGTTTCGGCCAGGTTGCACTGGCCGTGGTCACGGGTTGACTGGTGATGCGATGTTTACGTCTCCATCACGGCGGTGGAATCTTCATTCACCCGCATAACATTTTTTAAACTACCGCCACACACAACACTAACGGTGTCGCTATTCTGTATCACAGCCATATTCTGGTCATACACCGGATTCCATGCTGCAGATAATTTGAAACCGTCCTCCCGATTGAAATTATTAGGATGTTTTTTGATTTCAATCGCTTCACGTACAACTCTTGAATAAAAGTGACGGTCGGTGGAGCCTGCGTACGATGAAACTCAATTCAGTGATTTGTACCCTGTTCCAGTAAATGTTCTGCAATAGCTGACTTATTACATTGGCGACTTTTGACAGCTGCGATATGTTCTTTGAGCCTGTCAGTGACAGTTCTCTTTGTCTGGCCTATGTAGTAACTACCGCAGCTGCAATCATTTTTGTAGACGCCAGGTGTTTGAAGTGGTAAGACATCCTTCGGAGTACCCACCATGTTGTTTACTTTTATGCCCGGATTGTGTATTGTCGGTATGGAGTGTCGACGTAAAACGTGACCTATCTTGTCCGTCACTCCTTTAACATAGGGCAAGTAGGCTGGATGTCTATTCACCTCCGGATGCCTATATCTTCTTTTTGGCTCTTTTCGTCGTCGGTTCACTTGGTATCCGTTTTTTTTAAGTACTTCCTGAACATGATCTAGCTCCTGCTCCAAATGTTCAGGGTCACAAAGATCGTAAGCTCTGTTTTTTAATGACGTCATTACGGATTGCAAGTGACGTGGGTGGCGATGCGACGTTGCACGTAAGTATCTGTCCGTGTGTGTTGGTTTGCGGTAAACACAGCGCGTTAAAGACCCATCGAATTTCACGGTCATTCTGACATCCAAAAAAGCAACGGCCTGTCCGCCTCCATCTCATACGTAAGCCTTATGTTGGGGTGAATGGAATTAAGGTGTTGTATCCAGTGATCTACGTCTTGGATGTCTCCCTTGACAATACTGAAAACATCATCTACGTATCTTTTCCACAGTCGTATAGTACTAGGGTCGAGTCTTAGTGCTTTTTCTTCAACATGTTCCATCCAGAAATTGGCAAGCACCGGGGCTACAGGGCTTCCCATTGCAACACCATCTATCTGGAAGTAATATTGACCCTGGAAAAGAAAATAGTTTCCTTCCAAACAGTGTTTAAGTAGATCAACGTAGTTTAACGGCATCTCGTTATTCCTCAGTCGGTCCCTAACTATGTCCAGACATTCCTTGATTGGAACATTGGTAAAAAGTGACTCCACATCAAAAGTCACCATTTTTTCTTTCCGGTCGGTTCCAATATATATCTTTATACCAATATATTCCTCTATAATTTGAACAAAATGTCGTGAGTCCTTCACAAAAGACGGTATTTTTCCCACTAAACTAGGAAGGTGTAACAAAAAAGCCTATTCGTATGTAAACGTGTTTATTCCCGTTTTCAAATTATAGTACAATGCAACGCGAAAGTTTAAAAGTATATAGTAGAAATCCTTGTGAAAGAATTCGTCCAGGAAATTGCTTGGAATTTCTGCGGCCACGAAATAATGTGAGTATTACTGCGTTCCAGCTTTGGAAGGATGAGGGTGCTGGTGAAATCACAGGCGCATGGGAAGGACTCGTTTAGTTAATGTCTCAGGGTGAGGAGTGCAGTGACAGTGCCTCTCAGATCTTTGTGATTTAAAGTTCTGAGTAGCACTGCAATTGTTACGGGTGTGTGTCGCTCACCACCAGATGCGCGCCTTGTTCATCCCGTCTCTCCTGAAACAAACTCTGAGTGCTCAACTGCTCAAACCAAAACCTCAATATTGTTTCAGAATTGGTTGTCGGACCTAGAGATCTTTGCGACACTAGTGGCAGCGGTAGTGCATGACTTCGAGCACACCGGCACAACGAACAACTTCCACGTCATGTCTGGGTCCGAGACTGCGTTGCTATACAACGACCGAGCTGTGCTCGAGAACCATCATATTAGTGCTGCTTTTAGGTAAGTGCTATTTCCCATAATAGTACGCATCTTATATATATATCCATAATACACTCCCGGACACATAATTCGAGCCACCTCGCCTTTTCGGTATTAAATGCCCTAAACTTAAACAATGTTCGGTTGATCAAAAACTATTAAGCAATTTTGAAACTAGCATACTAAACGTCTTTTCCATAAATCCTTGTTGGAAATTTGGATTTGCAAAACAGGGGAAAAACTTTTTTTTCGACGATAACACTACTTTTGTATTCTAGCCCTTTTAAGACAAAAATGCGAGGTGGCTCGAATTATGTGTCCGGAAGTATATTAACCTTAGAGCTAAGTCCAAACTCATGGTACCACGATTTCGTTTAACCAAGTAAACAACTCTTTTATGGGGAAGTGTATACGCTTTTTCACAATAAGATTCCGGAGCATATATTAAGTTTATCATTTCCTAAGTTTAAAAACTACATTAAAAATATTTTGATCGAAAAATCATATTACAAAATTGAAGACTACGTGTTAGATAAAGATCTATGGAAAGCCGACACGGCTTCAGAATCCACACAAATTTGATTCAAAGTGTATTCCATAGCATTTAAATTTATTTGAAAAGAGCAATCCCTAGAGTTTCTTGCTCGTTCTTCTCAGGGAGGTCAGCGTAGTGAACGAGCTGTAGCTAAAATGTGACGTTTTCAAGTGTAAATTTATTTTACCTATGGAATAAATAATCTTTGACTTTGACTATATGTCACAGGACAACCTAAAAAACATGTGTCTGGAGAACCCTAAACTAATCATGAAGTCAAAATTCTACGGGATACATTTATTTATACTTGCAAAGTTCTTATAGAACTGCAACTTTACAACATCTCGGTGCTGCATTTCACGTGGACCTAGCAAGGACAGAATTACTGCAAATCCCGAGGACTCAAGTACACTGTCTGGAAATTTACATTTTAATAAAACTCACAATATGTTTCAAAACGCGACATTTGCAAAACTGACTTGAGACGTGGAATTCTATCTAGATATTATCAAACTTCTCCAGGGCTGGAGAAATAAAAAACGTATAAACACTGTTATTCTTTCATGAACATGTAAAACGAACACTGTTTTTCATTAAAAATACTACTGAATAGCGTTCTACAGTGAAGAAAATCTCTTAGGGACTTACCACAATTATTAATGCATGAAGGAGTCATCGTACGAGAAACGCGAAAAACTGTTTTGCTAGATCAAATGATTTAAGTATTTACTACTAAATAACGGTCTTATAAAACATATACGATACATCTAAGGATATTGTTTAAAGAATGTGCTAATTCAATTCGTTACACGATATGATGTACTTTACTCGGTCGTATAAAATCCTAAAAACGGGCTAAAATAAAAGTGTAAAATTATTTAAGAACAAAATATCTGACTTTGCATATAAGTTTTATTACGAGATATTTCTCTTTAAGTACTACAGAGAATCTGCTCAATTTTGGTTTTCAATTGAAGCCCCATAGTTATTAAATTTACATTTATCCCAAAACTTGAATATTGCCCAATGGTTTGACGACACGTCGCGCAACACGCTGCCCCGTTAGTCGCCACTGGGCGCTTGTAAACGTCAAATGTGTGTCAAGTTTTCTCCACCTGTTCTTATTTTATTCATATTAATTTTACGCGTGCGGATTGCGAGACACGAGAGACGGTCCCACACCTCACCTATAATACCTCGCCTTAAGAGCCTATTACGGCCTAGTACTAATTAATAGAAATAAATGGGTTGTGTAGAGATAAGTGCAAATGAAATTCCACTTATCCCAACCAGCGATGACGTGGTAGGGAAGAATGGAAAAAGGCGCACTTGTCCCCACCAGGAGGGACAGCTAGTGAAATAGGCCGCCTTAAGCCCTGGTGGAAGTCAAATGACCAAAGTCATTTTCGGTCCTATTACACGAATATTAAACCATACAGCCTGACAGAGGTATCTTGTAGGAGACATGTGGATCAACTTATAAACACCAGTCAGAAAAATGCGCGTCTTCGTTATCGTGTATTGATAATAACGAGAATAATGATACGGCAGGTGTCGGAAAGGATGAACAATTTTATTCACCTCAACAAAGGGTCGTTTCCAGGGTCACCAAAACCAGGAGAGGGGGTAGAGACAGAGTTGTTAGATTCGGCTGATAAAAAAAATGATAATATGGGTGATATCAATGCCGCTGATAAGGGTAAACAACGTAAATCGAAATTTTATACACCCCTGACTATGACGTTAAGATCTCAGGTACGAGCTAATAAGTAAACTAGTCGAAATTCATTTATACATGCAAATTTATGTACATTGATACACACCATTATGAATTTTATATTGTTAGTTAACTGGACGTGAAAAGGTATTGAAGGACCTTAATTAGGGTGACCGATTGTCATGTTGTGTGATGAAGTTGTGTATTATTATTATATAAGTTTAGTTTTATTATTGGTTATGATACTTTTTAAAATCTAGAAAGTTCTGTTTATTATTTCCCAATGTACCTTCTTTGATGTCACACAATAAATATAGTCAGTCTGCGATCGTCCGTGTTTTATTTAATACATCACAGATCTCTCAGACGTCTATGTACATCATCGTCGTATCAAGCAAGGGTTACAATCCCGATTCGGTCGCCCAAGCGCGAAGCCAAATCGAGCAAACTGAACATAGGCTTTTTCTAATCGGCATTGATAAATGTGTTAACTTTTCAAACCCTCACACACAAATCACTTCAAAATAAAGTAAAGTCTAAAAACACTACTTGAATATATAAAGTCTTGCAGAGCGACATAACGTCCTTGTAATAATACGATTTAATTTCCCTGGGGAACGTCAAGTCTTCTTTTTGACACCCGGAAGCAAACACGGGAGCGGTCGGCTTGGATGTCAATTCGATATATTGGATTAAATGTCAAAAGGTACAAACTAGTTAATTGGTTATCTATTTCATTACAATTATAGGAATCAACACACGTAATATTAATTTAGAAATATGACCACAATTATTAATTTGTCGCAAATTGTTAACTTATCAAAGTATCACTTCATTAAGGGCGCGTTAAGTGCTTAATTATATTGCACTAATATAACCTTAAAAGTTGTTTGTAGTTGTAGCCTTGATTTCCTTGTTACTACATATAACAATATTAAAATTCGGAGAACGCTATGCTCTCAATAGCACGCCTGACCGATCAAGATAAATTCGAAATTTTCATTTAATTCATTTGAAATAAATCTCGTCATACGTGCATGGCCTCATTTGAAGGATACTTGATAGATAGAGATAAAAGCAAGTGATGATAGCATCAAAATTGTCCAGGTCCAGATGTAAAAGGTTCACCGCGAAGCGACTGTTGAATTAGTTTTTTCATCTATTTAAAATCACCTTCACCTTGGCCTTTTAATTTGTTTACCTTGACAAATACTTGTCTGGGTTTATTTACATTTTACGAACGGTGGATGGTCTCTCTTGTAGAAATTTCGAGAAAGTGGCGTTGAAAGTATAGAATGAAATAAACGAATAAATGTATAAAATAAATGAAATATGGCAAAGGTCTGACCAAAATCTTCCATTACTCCATCTTTGAGACTTTTTCACCACTCCTATTATATTCTTTGATACACATAACATTACAATGGGGCGGTTTTAATATTAAACATAGCATGAATGACTACCATCTCAGTCAGTCGTGACTGTGGGACTTGTAAACGTTGATTTGTATGACTGATATCGTTGGTTTGATAAAACAAATAGACGCAATTTACATCCGAAAAAATAGTTTAATTTCTTTGTTACACGTAAAAAAACATACAGAACAGGAATATAAGTATATCACTTTTTTAATATGGTACTCGTAATAAAGAAACATAATATAAGAATAACCATTACAAAAGCAGGTGACTGTATAACTTAGTAGGAATTTGTCCAAGACAACTTTAGGAGATAAAAAATATTCGTTACAAAGGGAGTGCAATCATAAAATGTCTTCTGATAATAATATTTCAAATAAATGCACCACATATATTGAATAGTATAAATACTAAATATCAAATAATAATAAAAGCCGTGGTAATGGATCCTAATGGACCTACCGCCTCGCAAGCAGAAAGCTATGAGTTCGGTTCGAAACCGGCCTCGCAACTCTGAGTTTTTCAAAATTTAACTTGAAATTTATCATGAAGCTTTCGGTTTACAACGCTCAGAAACGAAAACGTTTTAAGTCCCCAAACCGCACTATTCCAGTTTGACGGACTATGGCCTAACTCCTCGCCCGACGGGATTCGTCCCAAGCAGTGGGACGAATAACTGTTTTGATGATGATAGGTACTAAGTTTTGTGTTATTCTAGATAGATTTCCGATTCTCCACAACCCAATATAATGCCGAGGAGTGGCAAATTTCCTACTACATTCTAAATGCGAATGAATATTACTTTATTCAATATCTTTTACAGTCGAAAATGAGGACTTCGCTCCAAGCTCCTGAGGCAATTCACTCAAGAGATTGATGGATCGGCTTGGCGTAGTGTTTATTTTAAATCCATCTTCGTTCGCGATGTGCAAAGTTACAAGTTTAAAAATAACACAAGAAAACTAGCGAAAGAAGATTCACTCGTTTAAGTCGTGGAAATTTCCCAACCCATATTAGGCCAGCCTAGTGGTCTATAGCCTAAATCTCCTTAAGGAGATCCATGCCTAGTAGTGGAGCGTATATGGCAGTGGTGAGGCGTGAAAACTGTCGTTAGTAAAGCCGGAGCTAAATAAAAAACACCTACCTTAAGAAATAATGGTACCTTGACGACACTTAATCACAACTTATTAGCATAGAAGGTACTAATACACTTGATTTCACTGGTTAACACTTAAAATTTAGCACAAAATGTAGTATTTGATTGTGGATAATTTTAGGCAAGACGGAGGAAATCGAGTTATATGGCCGCCTCGCCACTGGTGTATGGGTTGAAAGAGAACTGGAAATAAAA